GTCTCCAACCTTGGCAACTTTAAGCCTGGTGGACCAACTCCCAGAATTCCCCAGCCAGCCATCTGTTGACAGTCGGCACAGTTAGCAACACCAATAGCCCTTAGACGTATATACCGCTTCGCATTGCTTTACAGCCCTGTCTAAGCAGTTTACAGAGTCAGCCTCTTTGCCTCCAACAATCTGGGTCCTCATTTTACCCACCTCAGAAGGATGGAAGGCTCAGTCAACCTTGAGCCCAGTGACTATACAGGTAATCCTCGACTTATGACCATAATTGAGCTCAAAATTTCTGTTGCTAAGTGAGAGAGTTGTTAAGTGAGTTTTGCCCCTGTTTTACGACCTTTCTTGCCACACTGGTTACGTGAATCCCTGCCGTTATGAAGTTAGGAACACAGCTGTTAAGTGGGGAATTCATATGGTCTCCTGCTCGAACGGGGGGTTGGTCTAGAGGACCTCCAAGGTCCCTTCCAAACCTACGATTATTCTATTCTATTTGAACTCAATTTTCCATGTAGCCTGTCAAGCTTCGATGAGAGATGGGAAGCTTTCTTGGTGAGGAGAGCCAAAGAGGACAGCAAAAATACTGTGATGACCCAGAGTCACACAGTCACAAAAAAACAGGTGAAGCCCCTTTTATTCCTTCACTTTGCTTCCAAGCTCCAAATATCCTTGACTGGATTCAAAAAAACCTCCCACACTAACAGTTACAAGAAGGAGGAAATGCCATTTAAATTATAAAGAATAAAAAAAAACAACACAAACCAGGAAAGATAAAGGCTGGAGGATGTCCACAGATATCGGAACACACACTGGGAAGGACGTCAAACTCAGAGATGAGCGACAGACTAGAGATATTTCCATGCTTTGTTTCCAGCACTCACCCGTATGCATGTCCATCCTCCTATCCAGTTGTCACAGCTGCAGCCCATGAAGAGGATCAAGGCCCTCTCCTCCCCCCTAGACCATGTCTGTCCCTTATCCTCTCCACCCCGTGTGCCCTAGGATGGAGAGGGGGTGGGCTTGGGTCCTCCTCTGACTGCCCAGCCGGCCTCTGCCCTTCCCCAGCCTCCTCTGGAGCCACACTTCCCCTCCCTGTCGGCTGTTCCTCCTCTCCCTCAGTCTCCACCAGGGGCATGACACATACATAGGATGTCAATCAGCATTCATGGTCATCAGACAGTAGAAAACCAGAAAACCTTGATTAGTTTCCACCCGTTGCTTCTTGTCCTGCCTTCAGGTGCTGTGGAGAATAGGTTGACCCCCTTTTCTCTGTGGAAGCCCCTGAGATATTGGAACGCTGCTATCATGTCTCCCCTAGTCCTTCTTTTCACCAAACTAGACATACTCAATTCCAGCAACCGTTCTAGCCTCCAGTCCCCTAATGATCTTTGTGGCTCTTCTCTGCAGTCTTTCTAGAGTCTCAACATCTTGTTTTTTTTTAATATCGTGGTGACCAAAACTGGATGCGGTATTCCGACATGCCCTTCCCATCTAAGTCAATGGTCATATCGCTACCATATCCTGCCATCTGTGGTGTCTAGCCATAGATCTCATGATCTCAGTGGAGCCTCAACAAACTTCTCCCTCCTTTATGACTTACCCGCTACGTATGGCAACTTCCAACCAAGAGTGAAAGGTCCTTTCTCCATCATGTAGGTTGACTTCTTCTAGAGGCCGGCACCCAACCCGCAGGAAGGATTTCAGAATCCGTTCTCGGCCACCACAGCTACCAAGGTTGACCGACCAACTCTCCCATCAAGTGGAAGAGGGTATTTGCTCCCACCTCTGAGCCACACGTTTTAGACTTTCTCCAAGCAAGCCACCTCCCTTTCTCTGGCGTCATTCTTGCAAAGATGGATGTCAGGATTAGTAAAAACGGAGACAAAAGTAGGGGGAGAATGGAATGAGGAAGACAAGTGCACACCTGGAACCAAACACTCCAGGTATGGTCCTGGGAACAAACTCAGAATACCTTTGCATTTGCTTGCAACCATCAGGGCAGAGACGTGATGGAGACTTCCTAGCAGTGAAGGCAATTAACCAGTGGAACAGCCTGCCACCAGAAATTGTGGGTGCTCCATCACTGGAGGTTTTTAAGAACAGGCTGGACAGTCACTTGTCTGAGAAAGTATAGGTTCTCCTGCTTGGCCAGGGGGCTGGACTAGAAGACCTCCAAGGTCCCTTCCAGTTCTATTCTATTCTATTCTATTCTATTCTATTCTATTCTATTCTGTTCTATTCTATTTGTTTGTCAAGCATGTATGAGAAAAAAAGTATGAACATAACATATAAAAATATAAGTATAAACAGGAGTAAGTATATACATAATAAATGAATATGAATAAATGGATAAATGGGAACAGTAGGACAGGGACGGTAGGCACACTGGTGCGCTTATACTATTATTATGCTATTATCCTATCCTATCCTATCCTATCCTATCCTATCCTATCCTATCCTATCCTATCCTATCTTATCCTATCCTATCCCATTCCATTCCATTCCATATTTTCTATTCTATTCTATTCTATTCTATTCTATTCTATTCTATTCTATTCTATTCTATCCTATCCTATCCTATTCTATTCTATTCTATTCTATTCTATACATTCTACTCTACTCCACTCTACTCTATCCTATCCTATCCTATCATATCCTATCCCATTCCATTCCATATTTTCTATTCTATTCTATTCTATTCTATTCTATTCTATTCTATTCTATTCTATTCTATTCTATTCTATTCTATTCTATACATTCTACTCTACTCCACTCTACTCTATTCTATCCTATCCTATCCTATCCTATCCCAGATGTAAGAGATAGCCATCATCCAGGTCACAGTTGTCCCAAAGGTGCCTTTTTCAAGAGGCAACTGGACTTTCTTTGTTTTTCCTTGAAGACGTTTCGCTTCTCATCCAAGAAGCTTCTTCGGTTCTGACTGAATGGCGGAGAAGAGAAGGATTTATCTTCCTCGCAGTCCTTCCATCCTCTATCATTCATTCACTCAGAACCGAAAAGGCTTCTTGGATGAGAAGCGAAACGTCTTCAAGGAAAAAAACAAAACAAAACCAGAAAGTCCAGTTGCCTCTTGAAAAAGGCACCTTTGGGACTTTCACTATGTGGATTATTTATTTTGGGGGTATCTTCCTCCCTATGGACACCCTTGCTCCAATGATCCATGAGTGCTGCTGTGTTGGAAACCTTCCTCAGGATGACCTTTGTGTACTTGGCATTAGTTCATGGCAGGTGTGATGGGCGTTCGGTTGCACCCAATGCTCGGGAACAAAAGAGAAGAAATGTTCTCACAGCAATAAAAGCAAGAAAGGACAATGACTCCCAAAGCTATTTCCTGAACAGCTGAGGTTCCAAAAAAAACCCCCGCCATCTTGTTCCTCTCTCCATAATGTATTTAATTGAACCAGCAGAAGGATTCATGTGGCAACACCATTAAGGGTTCAATTTGTTTGTTAATTAACCCCAAGGAATTTAGTTTAGCCTTAACAAGCACCAACAATTAACAGGATAATTTTTTTTTCTCATGCAGGCTTTGAAGGGATCCCAAAACAAAAGCAATGATACGCCTGGGAAACATAATAAAGTAACCCTATTTGCTCTTCCAGAGAATTTTTCTATTGCAGGAAGTCCTCAATTTACAACAATTCGTTTAGTGATCATACATTACAATGGCACCGATAAAAAGTGACTCACATGCTTATAATAGCAATAGCACATAGACTCATATACCACTTCACAGTGCTTTAAAGCCCTCTCTAGGCGGTTTACAGAGTCAGCCTATTACCCCCAGCAATTGGGGTCCTCGTTTTACCCACCTCGGAAGGACGGAAAGCTGAGTCAACCTTGAGCCTGGTGGGATTTGAACTGCCAAATTGTAGGCAGCCGGCAGTCAGCAGAAGTAGCTTGCAGTACTGCACTCGAACCACTGCACCATAGCGGCTCCTCTATAATTGCCATAGAATCCTCGCTGGTTTTGTGACCAAAATGTGGGTGCTTGGGTGTGTATTTATGACGATTGAAATGTCATATAAATTATCATTTGTGACCTTCCTAGCCGGCGTTGACAAGCATAATCATTGGGGGGAAGCGAAATTCGTTTAACAACCTCATGGTTCAATTAATAACTGCTGCGATTTGCTTCAGATTTGCTTCAGATCTGTGGCCAAAAGGGTCGTAAAATCAGGCGCGGTTCCATTAGCAACCATCTCGTTCAGCAACAGAAATTCTAGGCCCGATTGTAGCCTTAAGTCAAAGACTACCTATAGTAATTTAGCCTCATGATACGGCTAAGAAGACAAGGGGAACTTTCTTCTAAATAGGGTGCTATATGTGTCCGGGGATGTCAACTAAAAATCAGGACTGACTCGAAGGACTCTTTACTAATTTAGTGACTTACGGAATAGTTTCCACTGATTTACTTAACAATGGAGGCGTTTGCTTAAACACCACCTCAGGAATGCTCGTAAAATTGGGCTGGTCATGTGCTTGATCTAATTTATGATCGTCATGACTTATGACCATAGTGGGCTGGCTCCATTACGATCACAACTCAAGAACTACTTGGTGCCTCTTGGTCTCATTCCAAGACCTACAAATAAATGTGACTGTGTCGTTCCTTTTTCGAAGATGGAGGTGTGATGACCGATTGTTGGATGAAGGAAATATTCTGATT